CCCTTTGTTGTTGCTGTTGTAGTTGTGATTGACCTTGATTAACCAATGTGGTTGTGGTTGTTTAGGTTGGAGAGTTGGGGGACTTCAGCACCGAGCCCCATGTGGTGAAGACAGAGCCCATCGATATAAAGAAGTCCAGTTCGTCTGCAAAGAAAGAAAAAGACTCAGACTTCTTATTCGCGCTCCTCTACATCGGAGGGGGATCTCGAAACCAAGTCAGCTCTAACAAGGAAGCTTTTGAAGCTTCAAAGAAAAAGGTGAATGACTCATACAGTGACTCTCACATCTGAAAAGATTCACTTGTGAGGACTTTTATTCACTTAATGCTTTCCATAATCTCCTGAACACAACTGTCATGTAAAATACGTCTGAGACACAATAACCTCACTCTATAGGTTTTAAACATGGCCCTCATGTACATGGGCAGGTGCAAAGAGACGCAGACAAACCCACACAAAGTAGCGTGTACATTTTTTAGGGTACATTGCGTTGACTGACTTGAATGGATTAACCCTAACCCAGGATAGTTGAAACATCCCCACACACAACTACAAACACACATATGTGCCGCTGTCCTCTTTCCATTTTTTCTGTCCTTTGCTATATTTCCTTCCGTAGGAGTCCAAGTTTTTCCGGGTCCACCAGGTTCTGCCCGTATCCACGTTCAAGGTGAGAGACCCGGCGGACCTCGTCCTGTCGCAGCCCTTCCTCCAGTTCCTTCACGCTCTTCCTCTGGAGTACAACTACGCCCTCTACAGGGACATCTTCCAGCGCTTCGGAACGCACTACTACAGCGCCGGGAAACTGGGTGGCGTCTATGACCTGCTGTACCAGTACAGCCGAGAGGAGCTGACCAGTTCAGGTAGAACAGCACAGCTTGGGCTGCTGTGGTAACCTAAAAGTATTAGTTTGGACGTAAATCAGACCCATGTCATGTTAATCAGCTTGAAAAACATTATAATTAGAATAGTTATAAGTATTAAATTAAAAAACATTCAAATCCTAAAAATCCCTACTTTTAAGGTCATGTGTGTGTAGGACATTTCTATGAAAAAGTAGTTCTGGTCATTGGATTACATTTCAATAAACAGCAAAATGTAGTGTACGTGTTCTGATCAAATACCCACAGAGAGCGATGTAATATCTCGTGGTCAGTTCTTTTTGTTTCATGCTGCTCTACACTGCCTCTCCAAAAGGTGAAACGGAGGAGCACACCAAAGACTGCCTGAACCGAGACACCGCCTGGACCGCCATCCTCTACACGCAATACAGCAGCGTGACCCGATGCTCCGACAACAGAATGACTGAGAAATATCATGGTTTGTTACGCGGCGAACTGGCCGTGAAAAATCACTGTTTCTGTTGTTCGGTTCAGACATTCCTTAAGGGTTTGTCTCCGGTGCAGGCTCGTACATCGAGGCAGCAGAGAAGTCCTTCTCCTCGACGAGAGGAGGGCGACCCAGAGAGGCAGCAGCTCTGGTCTGGGAGAGGCAAGGCGCCGCTCCCAACAAAACATCCTACAAGGACTGGGCCAAGTCGGTTCTGGACAACCCCGATGTGGTCGAATACGAGGTTAAATCAAACACCGATGAAATGCATCGAAGCGCGTTTGTGGCGCTTTGAGGCCTTCTAGTGAGATAGTTTCTCACAATAATGAAATAGCATCTATACAGAACTCTACAGACATGTTTCAAAAAGTTTTGTTTCAAAGAAATTTTGAAGCGGCGCAAATGTGGCTTCCGTGGAAAGTTCTTCTGAAGAAATCCACAAAACCTGATCAAATGGGGTTCATGGAAAGTGTTTGTTTAGGTGCTTCCCATTATAGATCTGGTCCGGGGGATCCCATGTGCTACTACCAAGAGGAGGCACCTGAGGAAGGCCCTGCTTCAATACCTGGAGGAGTTTGATACCTGCAAGTGCTCTCCCTGCCCCAACAACGCCAGGCCCGTTCTCTCCGGCACAGAGTGCCAGTGTCTTTGTCAAACTGGCACATTCGGCACAAACTGTGAGAAACGAGCCCCTGACTTCACTTCAGGTATCATTTCACATCGGAAGTTGAAACGTAAACTCCGTACTACACTGTGCGTCGATTTCTAAAACCGGATTGATTGTGTTCGCAATGGACGTCTGGTTTGGTGTGTAATTTCCACAGAGGTGGTGGACGGTTACTGGAGCTGCTGGGGACCGTGGAGTGGCTGTGGAGGCTCGATGAAGAGACATCGGAGGAGGCGGTGCGATAACCCCGCCCCCCTCAGAGGGGGCCAACCCTGCGAGGGCCCTGACAGCAATGAGGAAGCATGTCATGTCTCCATCTTTGAAAGGTGGGACCAACTGTTTGCTTAGAAAGGGTTGATGCAGTCATGACAAGTCTAATTATTTTGGAGATTTTCGTGCCAGTCGTCCCGTGGAAGACACACCACAATTTGCTCATATATGCAACCACAGATGCACCGGTGCTGCTTTAGACAAGTAAACTCAAATTTACAAAATACATAGTTTGTATTTTAACAGTTTTTTTCCGTATTTTTGTGCTTGTGTCCAGACAGCAGACCTGTGACAATGATGACGACTTCACTGCAGGCTGGAGCGATGAGCTGCCTCCGGGTGTGCAGGGTTGTCGGAGGCCACAGCGGCTCGCCAACAGTTTCCTCAGGGTGAACACTGACACCCCAGCCTGTAGTCATCAATGCAATAAGCTATATACGCTATAAGAGACACATAAATATTAAAATGAATTCGTTACCAGTTAACTGATAATAGTTTCATTGCTACCAAGAAAAATACATATCTGTAATGTTGAAAAGTTAAAGTTGAATTGTTACCTCTATATGTAGTCTTTAATTTAATACAAAATATTCCAAATGCTGGACAGAATCTGCATTAGAAGTGTAATAAACAAGAAAAAACAAAAATGAACAAGTGATTACAAACTTGCCAAATAATAATTAATGTTCCTTGTTCTCTATTTAAAAAACAAAAGAGATTTACATTTTAACTTGGAATCACAACATTGATCAGCCTCAGCCAAAATATTGAATTGCAAGTTCAGCATTTCAACGCGCGAAGCAGCACGATGATGAATCTGTGGTATTTATCGCTTCATTTCTCTGACAGAAAGCAAAGCGGTATTATGACTTTGGTGAGGACGAACACTTTGCGTGCTTCACTGGATTTGAATTGGAGGGTTTCCAGTACATCAACTGTCTCCCTGACGGCTCGTGGAGTCAACCAAAAGGGAGATGCATAAGTAAGTTTCTCACCAGACAAGTGGACAGTTATCCAAGAACTCGTGTAACTAAACTGAAAGTCTGCAGCTCAAAGGTTTCCCGTCTGTACTTTCAGAGAAGCTGTGCCTTCCCTTTGAGATCCCTGAAGGCATGATGCTGTACCCCAACAAAGACCAGTTCAAAGTGGGGGAACATGTGGGTTTGAACTGTAACGAGACAAACCTGTTTCCGGTGCCGTCGGGCCTCTACAGGTGCAAGGAGGATCTCACCTGGGACCCTCCACTACCTGCTGATCTGCGCTGCACTGACGGTACGGTACCACCTGTCTGCGGCTGGAAAATACAGTCGTCGTACAACAACATAGACAAGCGACAAAAAGACTTTCTGCCGTTGTTCCTGTGTTCTCCCCGTATGCAGAGGAACCATTTGTTCCAGAGGGTGGCTGCGGTCTAGGAGAGAAACTGCTGCACTCTAAATGTCTCTGCATTCCACGGGAGAGCTGCCTGTAAGCTTTTAACATAAAATAACTGTTATATTACACACATTCCATTTGTGGAATTGAATGAAAAGCCAATTGTGATACATTTACGCTCTGATACCAGCTGCACATTGACTTGTAAGTGCTTGTGTGCAGTTCACAACCGGAGAGCCTCTGCATCCTGAACCTTGACATCGACGTCACCGTGCCAATGTCCCTCTGCTCCTTCCGCGCTGGTCGTTGCCACGGGGATCCGCTGTTCTTCGTCGCTGAGGGCGCATGCGACGCGGTCGATTCGGCCAAACTGGAGTGGGCAAAGTTCAGAGCCAACATGTCCTCCAAGAGCTCAGTTCAGACGCCGTGTGACCTCGACACCTGTTATGACTGGGAAACCTGCTCCGGTGAGTTTGTCTGACATGAAACCGTTCTTGGGCGTGTATTAGCTTTTCAGGAGAGATACGTTGATTTGGTGCAGTCCACTTTAGTTCAGTTGGCAGGATTTGTTAGAAGAAATGGATAATAGTTGCTAAACTAACTAAGAAACTAAGAACTGTTGCGTTCATTAGCTTCCAATGACCTCTTCATCGGTTGTTGGTTAAATCTTAAAATTGTCTCAGCATGAATTATTCATTAATAAAAAGTGTCAAAACGTCAATGGGCAACAATGTGGTTTGACTATTTGTTTTGTCTGTCCACAGCATCGAAGACGTGTGTGTGCAAAGAAGCTAGGACTTGCCCCCCGCAAGGTCCAGAGAAAACGTTCTGTGTGAAGCTGAAGACAATCCGGAAGAGTCGCAGCATGAGCCTTTGTTTGATTGCAGCCCTCAAATGTGTCAACACTCAGATTGAGATTCTCAATGAAGGAGTCTGTGAGTCTAGATGATCCTGGAAAAAAAGCTTTTCTGTGCCATTACACACAAAAAAACAAAGTAGCTCAGACCTTAAACACACCCAACTGAAAAGATGGAGCAACTCTAAATTCTCTAAATGTGGTAATTGTATTCCAGGAGCTGGAACTATAAGTTGTATATGCAGCTTTAGTCGCATTATAACCACTGTATTACTATAATAAAAATGGTTTTAATAAAAAAAGACTTCTATAAAACTAAATATACAAGCAGAAGCTTTCCTTCCTATTAGGAAATAAAGCGGTTCCAAATGCAATATTGTGCTGTCGTTAATGCTTAGAAAACTTTCCAAAATGAATGATTCTTCATGCTCATGGTCAGACGGTTAAGACTGCAACCTGCCGCACACATTCACCCACAAACACAAAAACAACAAAAGAACAAAAATGTATTTGAAAAGTGGTTTTATAAACTTTCTATATAAAAAAAACAATCCATTTCATGACATTAGAACAAAGCTGTCTTTCATCAGTCTGCACACTGCAGGTTTATAAAGTGCAATTTATTGGCACACACGCAAGGAACATTAACTCAAAACTTTGTCTACATTCATTAGTATTTGACTCTGCATGGGTGACTCTTATGCATTACTTGCCTGTCATCAGTCAAGACACAAGATTGCAGAGGAACACATTTACGGGTGTTCCAGTGTGAGCAATTGTTTTTACATTTGCTTACAAGAAGAATAGAAATGTCTTCCCTCCTTTATGTACAGCTGGAGGCCGCTCGGTAAAATAAAAGATCAGCCATCTTCATTCTGGACAAGCCTCGATACTGAAAACATTAACGTTCTCCCCAGCACACCGCCTGGCGCCCACCTCACATTCGGTCATCGCTATGGCAACGCTGTCAACACCAGATCTCACGCACAGCCGGGCGGAGTCGTTAGGGCACTCGGTTTTGTTCTGACAAACGCACTTCGATTCTAGAATTGAAAAAGAATTGTTATATCTACCGAGAAGACTTGGCCTGGAAATTACTCAATTACTTTAAATTTGCATTGAAAAATCTACATTTTGAGTTCAGGGTTTTTTTGAAGGCCAAATTAAGTTTCTGGTCTCTGGCAAAAATGTACGATAATGGTCAAAACAGAAAAAACAGAAACCTGATAAAGAATAGGAATATCCTTTAAAAAGGGTCGTGGGGGACTTACCCTGACAGATCGTTCCTGGTGTGCACTGCGCGCACGACGCGGACGTCTCCTCTGGCCAAACACAATCGCTGTCATTGGCCAACTCGAAGCTCCTCCCATTACACCGCAGAGCTCCAAGCTGACAAACGCTGAGCAAGCGGGTTCGGCTTGAGCCGAGTCTGGCGCACAACTTCAGAGAAACCCTGGAAGAAGAAAATAGATGAAGCAACGCGTTAACGTTGTCTTGTGTTTCCATGCAAGCCATTTCCCTGTGAACGAATGATGAAAAAGGACACTCACGGGCACTGAGAGGGCATTTTACACACACACTCAGTTTTTCCTACATCCTCCCACGGCTTACACTGCAGGCCAGATGGTGGAGAAGGAGCCGAGGGAGCTGAGGACAAGAATATAAAGATATACATAGTGTATAGGTATAGTTCAATAAGCCTGTTGTGTTGTTCCTGAACGCTAAAAACAGTGAGCTGGAAGACTTCAACCGTACCGGCTTTACAATGAGCGCTGCTCGGTGAAGGAGACCACTGCAGACTGGAACTGCACATGATCTCCGACACGTCAGCATCCAGAACCGACCCCACCGGACAGGAGAGCGACACTCGGTCTCCAATCTGATAAGCCGCTTGCGTGGGCGTGGCTATAACTTGGCCGTTGAGTGGGGGAATCCCACACGTGGAACCTGCGAGGGGAAGACGGGTAATTTAAGTAGAGGATTTGATGGACAACATGACATTGGGATTCCTTGACCGTGGTAGGGTTTTTTTTCTCTACAATCTGCATCTACATCTGGATTTAGGCCACAACTGGCAGTTGATTCTATTTAAATCTGGTAGTGTAAGTAGCTCCGGAAAAAGACAACAGCCGTGGATGAAAGTCTTACTTTTACAAACCAAGAATCCTCTCCTCCAATTCTGGTTTTCAGTGCAATGAGCCCTCGCGTCTCCACTGAGGTAATAGTGTGGTATGCAGGAGTACTCCACTATGTTTCCAACCAGGTAAACGTCTCTGGGATTCTGAGAAATAAATGGAACAAAAGCTATGGTCAAATAAACGCAATAAATCACCTCCTTGAATATTTGCCAGATGTTTACTGCCGTTTTTTTGAACCCAAAGTACGCAGCCAAAGGTTTACACGAGCGGAACCGCAGCATCAATCAAGCAAACTAACCTGAATGAATCCGTTCCTGAGGTTTGGAGGCGCTCCACACGTCTTTGGTGAAATTACAGAGAGGTTGAAGCACTGAGGCTCCATCGTCCTGCACACAAACGTTTTACAGAGAGAAAACTGAAATGCTGCTGCAAGCCACTGCTTAAAAAGCATTACGTTGTAACTGTGTCATGAGGAAGCGGTCATTATCAATTGATCACTTTCAAATCTGTATCTAGACCAGATTCCTTCCATGAAATAATTGTTTTAGTTCAAATTTGGCTTGGAATTCCGTCCTAATATTGCATGACAGGGTTTGCGTGTGCATGTCCTTACTGCAAGAACTGGATGTCTCCATCCTCGCAGGGCTTCTGCTCCAGCTGCAGTCCGGAGCAGTGTTGGCCACCTCTGCTGGGTGCGGGGTTGTTGCAGCTTCTGGTCCTTGACCTTTGACCCTGAGAGCAGGATCCCCAGAGGGACCAGCAGCTCCAGCTGCCATGGATTACCCCTGAGAGAGAGAGAGGGAGGGAAAGAGAGAGACTCACTTTGATGAATCTCTGACTGGCAGGCCAGCAGGTTACATTATTACAACGTTTATTGTTCAATAGGGCACAAAATAAATGTCTTCTTGTTTTTACTCTCCGAGTCTGCAATCCGTTCACCTGGTTGTTCTCCGATCGCGGTTCCCCTCTCGCAGGCCTGTCCCGAGGTTCCCGGACGGCAGATGCAGCGACACTCGGAGCCCGTCAGAAGAGGCCGGCCGTTGTTCTGGCAGGGCCGGCAGTGACAGGGATGCTCCTCCGTCAGGTACGTCTCTGTGGCTCTTTTCAGGTGGAGCCTCTTCAACCCTGCACACTGCACCTCCTTCACCAGCTCATACAGAGGACGCAGCTGCAAAGCCAGTGTCCATGTTAGTAATGTGAACGTATTGAATAGGATGAATGACCAAGAATACTTTACTTTTTTTTTTTTTTTAATATCTCAAGTAAATCAGTTGGGGATGATAATAAAAAGAAGAATATACATATATCAAATATAATTGTATTTGGTCATCATCAACATTGGAATAATTGATAAGGCTAATTAGAGTTCAATCCAAGGCTAGTAGATCTTATTAGTAACACATGTTTTCCAGTATCAGTCGAAAAAGTAAAAGCCATAAGTAAAAAAAAATATTTTTACTTAATTTAATCAAACTAACTGAGGAAAAACTGGAGAAAGCAGTGTCTTTCCACTTGACCTGGACGATGGAGGTAATCACAAGAAAAGATTGAAAAGGGAAAAACAAACTCAATATCTTTAGAAATCAGATAACGTTTTTATATTAAGTAGGCTAAAACTAAGATCCAACCAGCTGTGAACCAGCTGTCATACCTTCTGGTCAATGACTTCAGGGAAGTCTTTGACAGACGACGCCCAGTTTTCGTAGATCTCTCCGTTACGTTCTGGGTTCTCCAGATCCAGAAGACTTAGAGCGGCTATAAAGGTTGTATCTCCTCCAATCACGTTGACCTTTATGGGCATCTTGTTCACTTTTTGTCCTGCGGGCAAATGACATTAGAGCTTAGACTAGTTGGCGTTCTATTTAACTTTAAATTCATGTAATTTACTGGAACCAAAATTGTCTCAAGCGTAAAAAAACGAATTTCTCTGACACTCTGGAGACTAACGTGTGGTTCAATGTTCTTAATTAGAATGCCGTCCCTCACCGTGGCTGGATGACAAAGCTTTAGTTAGTTTTTCACAGACGGTCGTCACTTTCTTCCAGAATAAACGGCGTTTCACCTTTCGCCAGCACCTCTGGTAATCTATATTTGTTGTTTCTTTGAACAAATAAGGCAGGAGAAAGACATTTCAAACCACTTCTCAAAAAATATGAACTTTATTTCACAGATGATTTAAATCTTTCAAAAGCAACATCCTTATTATTGTTAGCAAAGCACTTACGGGTCGATTCGAGAGCCTGGCGGTCGAGCTCCAAAAAGGCCTGGTATTCTCCTCCCAGTGAGCCCTCGGAGAGGTAGTGTGTGCCGTACGTCTCCAACAGCTGGCGGTAGGCGGAGTAGTCGTACGTGTACGGTAGCGAGGACAGGGCCTTCCAAAAGCCTTCGGCCAGAGGGAGATCCTGAGGGGCCGTGTTTTGGAACTGGGCCAGCTCCACTTTATTCTTCAGGACTATGAGTCTGTAAGCCTGGACGACACATGGATAAAGACGGTGGCGTCATTCTCTGGAACCTTTAACGCAATCCGCGAACGAGCCCCAAGGACGGCAATCTCAACATTAGTCCCGTTGTCCAGCGTGAAATCGTAGATCGGCGATTTTGTGAAGCACACGGGGTTACATCACCACCTTATTGTCAGTGAGCTCTTTGTGGAAGTTCCGTCGGTCGTGTCCCACCATGGCGTTGGCCTGGATGTGCTGCATGTAGGACCAGGAGCTCTCGTACGATTCGTCGCTCTCCTCATTGTTTGCGGTCACCTGCAAAGGTGACATTGGTTTCGTTGGAGCAGCTTATGCGAGAGAAGCTCTTAATTACTTTTTCTAATCCCTCGTTAGCAGCGTGGCTCTAGATCTGCCGTTCGGTCGGTCCGTCCGTGCCGCCAGTACCCTTCAGGTTTAGGAAGGTGTTATAAGTCAAGCCTCGGCCCCTCACCTTATTTGTTCGACCCACCTGGAAGCTGTACCCTAGGATGCTCTGTGGCAGTCTGTAGTGGGCTTTATGGCTACCGCTGAACACCTTCCTGCACTGCCCTCCGAAGCTGAGGGTGTTGATCACACCTGCCTTCAGTTTGCCTGTCAACACATTGTACCTGTAAAAGAAAAAAAAAGAAAGACACAACAAATCCATTTGAGAGGCGATGTGTTTTTTTCAGCCGCAAAACACGACGTCAGGGTGTGATTTACAGAAAGAACTAGGTTGAGTAGAGCTGCTCACCCTCTGCCGGTGACGTCAGAGCTCGGTGGTGTTTTGTCGAGGTCACATGTGTACTTGCTGCCATCTTGATCACAGCTTCTCTCGTCCAGGCCGTCCTCACAGTCCTGGTCTCCGTTACACACCAGAGACCGGCTGATACACTGACCTGTGGGTGATTCATTTGATTTGATCTATAACCTATTTTCTTAATACATAAAGTGTAAATAAAATATGACTGAATGGCATGTTTCAATATATGTTACGACATACCAGATGTGCAGCGGAATCTGTCTCCACAGCTCGTCGCCAGGGGACATCCTTTGTGTGGGACGCATGGCTGTATTCGCTCGGCTTCCCCTGAACACGGCCGACCCCCAAACTGGGCGTACGCCTCCACATGCCGAGTCTGCACCTAAAGATGGAGGCAACCATCAAAAGGAAATTCATCGAAGGCATGAACTAATTAGCAGTGACTATGCGCATGCATGACGACGTGTGGCGAGAAGAAGCGCTTTGCGTATCGGTCCCGTTAGCGTTCATAGCGTGTCGCTGAGCGGCTCGGCAGCTACAATCCATCCACTAGCCCCTGAGACAACCTGCGTTTACACGCGGACACGTGGTACTCTGATTCACGACCGACTTAATGGATGTAGCTAAGAGGGTCAATGGCGTGAGCATCAGACACCATTAGCAGTGAATCACACATGTGTGCTCTTTATTCAACACATTGGGGAGGACAACAAGCCTGTTTGCACTGTTTTAGTGTTGTTAACTCATAAATGTGTGTTAGAATGATGCAGATACGTTTAGGCGTGAGGGCTTGCATATTTAGGGTTCCCTTTGGATCACACAAACAGGTCATTAATTCAAGTCTACACAGTTTTATAGTAGAGTACTGTATGTGTGCGCTCTGAAATACCTTCGTGCTGGAGCAGCCGTCACACTCCGACCATTCTCCATAAGCTCCCCATCTGCAGTTCACAGGCTGCTGGCAGCTGAAAGGACATTAATATTCATGAAAAGATAAATATTTATTCTGTAAAGAATCAACTGAAATGTATAAATATTTGTTGACACGTCGGTACATTATTGTCCAAGCAATGAAGATGTAAAGACATCTGGTGTGATTAATGTGTGTGAACTTACCAAACTGGAGACCAAAAGATTACCAACAATGTCAAAGAGGACAACGCTGCAGCCCAATCCAACTGTACACACACACACACACACACACACACACACACACACACAAAAAGTGTGTCCTGAGGAGTCCTAATAATTTAGAATCAATATTTGTGATTCATTACAAAACTGGTGGTGTTCTGTTCTGTGACCTTTTCAGTTGTGGAAAAAAAACTGTTTACTTTAGCCTTTGCACTCAATCTCATTAAAAAAAAGAAATCCAACAATCACATAAACCGTCCTCTTGAAACCACCTCCACAACATTTAATTATCCAATTATTAAAATCAATGCTATTAAAAGAAGGCCCCGGAAACATTCATTTTTACAGTTGTTTCAATCTGAACGTCACATGTGCAGGGTGAAGTTGTCCGTACCTTCATGATGTGCTCCAGCCCTCTCGTCTGGCCCAGCGCTGGAACACGACGGGTTATATAATCAGCAGGGGGAGGAGACTCCAGACCCAGAGGTCAGGAATTCCCCACGTCAAGAAATCCTGATTAACCAAATCCGAACTACCACATGTGCTGCACCCGATGAGTCATGGACAGAAACCCAGTGTTCTTTCCCACAACATCATTCCCAGAACAGATGATTTGTTCTCCATTCTACACTTCACTCCCAGTAACAGTTTAGCGGTCTATTCGTCGTGGTGCAGCGGGTGTCTGGGAACCGCAAGGTTGGAGGTTTGAGTCCCGGCTGCCCCATGTCTCAAGTCGATGTGTCCCTGAGCAAGACACCTAACCCCTGATTGCTCCCCGGGCAAAAATGTAAAAGCCACGGGTTTAAAGTGTAATGTAAGTCGCTTTGGATAAAAGCGTCAGCTAAATGACCTGTAATGTAATAATGTAATATTCTGTGCTGAAGGGTGGAGGATGAAATCCATTTTTTTTTGTTTACCAAAACAACATCATCATTGTGTGACAGGACTAGTTGCATCACAATTGTTTATCCTGGATAAGAACGTTAGAGGCAGCATGACTTCGGGCAAAAGGTCAAAAAAGCCCAAAGTGGCAATATTAATCCACATCTTTATTTGTAATAAAAACATCCTACTTATTACTTAGGGATGATTGATCTAAATGTTCTCTACTCTAAGCATTAAAATAGAGACACAAAACTATCCTATGTCAGTATATTAAAGAGCAGAGAATTCATTTTTGCCTTTTTCTGTGTGTTGTAATGTGAGCATGTCTTTGCTTTGGGAGTCCTTAAATCGATGTGAGCGTGCACCCCCTCACCTCCCCAACGCCCCCCATTTGCCCTGTCAGCACTGTTGCCGTTATTTGTAATGTTAGCAATGTTAGCAAGCCACAGGCCCCACTGCCCAATTACGAGCCGCCAAAGGCTAAACGACACTGAATTCACAACAGACGTATATTTGTAAAATAAGTTAATACAACTTAATTCCATAGATAAAGCAAACAATTACTAATTACTTTGTCTTCTCAAATCTCTTGCCTTTAAAATACGAGTCGTTATTTACTGTGTGATACTTTTTGTTATCACAAGTTGTTTTGTTATCAAATACTTCTACAGCATCTCCACAGGAGAGGCTGCCATCTTGTGGTGTCTCCTTGTCTCCTGTAGCACTTAGGACACATGACATGGAGTGATCGCCTGTTTTCAATACACAGGAAGAAGAAGTCCTCTTTTTCCTGTCTTGCAAAATTCAAAAACCTGAATGGGCGGCTGTGGTTGGGAATGTTGGTGTGAGGCTTTTGAAAAATTATTATTCCAATCGCGCAAGATCCAGCGTGCCTCTACCTCTCATTATGATGATTGGAATGATTTATTTTCTCCTTTTCGATTTATAGACTTTAATATGAAACCAAAATTACCAAAATTATCTTCTGCCTCTAAACTAAAAATAAATCTGGTTTTAATTAACAACAAAACAAAACCATATTTAAACATATACAATTTACTGATCTTTAATTTTGATCACCTGCAGCCTTTTCTAAAATCCTATAACTCAAAGAAAAGAATGCAAAGAATTCCTAGAATTACAACTGCAAGCTTATTGTTTGGGTTTTCTGTCCGGCGACTTGACTGGAGTGGTCACCTTTCAGGACTCTGATCCGCACAGTGAAAATGTGGCATTTGCTTGCGAACAAGTCATTTCATATTTATACAAATGTGTGGGCTATGTAAAGTATTTGGAAGGTGTGTGTGGTCCCTAGAATCTGTCAAAAACAAGGTGCTGACGTGTCATGTGAAACTCACATGTACCACTCACAGAACATAATATGAGCCCCGGCTGAGAAATACTGCTCTGAATCAATAGCTTGAATACAAGTTTTATTTTTGGCACACTAACAACTCGCACTTAATGACATAGGTGTATCTAACATAATTTGCGGTGTAGAATAGGTGGTGCTACTTAAGAATTCCCATCTCTGGGTCTGACTTCCAAGTTACACTTAAGTACAGTATTTTAGGTATTTGTACTCTACGTGAACATTTCCAGTATGTTTCTATATTTTCCATTTTGGAAGCCAACCTTTTTACTTCTTTACCTTTATTTATGTGATACAATTAGTTGCTTTGCAAATTAAGAATAATACAAACTGTAAATCCACTAGTAATCAATGATGTAAATTACCTTCACCTTTAACAGCTGCAAAAATAAATTGTATGCACTGACTTGCATCCCAATGAGACGTAATGCAGAGGCCCTTATGGATCATGAGTACTTTTAGCCGACTCTTAAATTTAAAAGGTCTCTATACACGTTATTGCGGTTAGCTGCAAGGAAATCAAACTTTGTTTGGCAAGTGTGTGTAAGATGTTATGCGGCTACTTAAGAACCTTTTTTAAGTAACACCTTGGATGCAGTACTTTTTATTGTTACATTTTCTACATTGTGGTACTTTTGGTAATACTAATGTTGTCAAGTCTCCTTATGGAGGATTTCCCACAGAGGAATCAACTGTTCTTCTCACATGCTGACTAACTAACAGTGTTTCCTTTCAAATTGTCCTGAGAATTTGAATGAACTATTAGACCATTTCACCGGTTGGCTGTAATCCGTCACTAAACAGGCTGAAGGAAGCAGAGGTCACTAAACGGAAACAAACAGCCCTCAGTCATGCGAGTTATTTCTGACATAAATCCCTTCAGATTTAGGCAACAAACCTACTTGTTAGGGTTTATGAAAACATGTTGCATAACGATCCATACATTTTAACTCAAATATATATATATATGTATATTTTAAACACAGCAACTGACCTTAAATATCTTTCTTTTCGGATGAAGTTGACTCGACGCTTTTTCTAATGCGATTCGCGCACATCAACAGCGCGTGTTTCCCTGCGGTTTTCCTGCGTGTCCGGACTCCACCGGCAGATGTCGCCCTTCTCTCCACCCCCGCCGGCCCCGCGGGGAGTGGGGGGGGGAGGTGGAGGTGGAGGGTGGGGTTGTGGTCTGTCCGGGCTGCAAGGGAGGCTTCTCCACCACACAGTTACCACACTGCACATAGAGCTCGGGGTGGGGGGGACACACAACATCCTCGGCGCGGGTTATTGTTTTAGCAGGATTGTTAGAGTCGTTTCGTGCGCGAGGGTTTTTGCTGGTACTTTTCTACCGAGGGAGCCTGCGGGGACGAGGACGGGAGCCGGGAGGGGTCCGCTTAAGGTGCCGCCGCGGTGAGTTGGTCCCCGTGTGTGTCCAGCACGGTCCCGTGTGTGTGTGTGTGTCTGTGTGTGTGTGTGTGTGTGTGTGTGTCTTTTACGTGGAGTGACACATTACTCTACTACACTAGTGTGTTGACAGGCGCGCGCAGCTCGTGCTTGTCGATGTATGGTGTCGTGTCATGAATCTCGCGTGGGGGGGGGGGTTGGGAAGGGTCCCGGGGGTCCCGATGGTTAAATCACGTCGTCCTGGTGCAGTTAAGGAAGGAAACATTGTTTGTGAATTTCTTAAGAAAAATACTTTAATTAGTTAAATCGTCCCAACATCAAATGGGAACTATTAATGTGTAATTACCACCTGATAAATTGCAGTGATTCAACACCCAAATATTTCGATTACAGATGAGGAATAATTGTATTTTGTGCTAAAATATTTGCGTAACAACTTTACAAGGCGAGAATATGTCTGTGTTGTGTTTACTGGCTCTGTTGTAAACACGTATCCAAAAACAGCAATATTTCAAACTGACAACAGATATACACAAATCGACAGTAATGGTGCACATTCACCCTCGCTGCCAAAGAAACGTGCACAGAATTCTGCAACAAATGTCTTGGTAACTGAAATATAAATTCTGAATTTGGTCTTTGTCGTTCATCTTTTCCGCTGGGTTTATTTTCCTAGAAATGATCGTTAACCGTGAAAACAAACCTTTGTCACGACAGTTATATGTTGGATTTGCTTGAACAAGCTCATGACAGTTTGTATTGGATTCGGTATTTTTCCAAGGCTGTGAATGCAAGTAAAATTGTCCCAAAATGTCAGTAGAGTACATTTACACTAGTTACTATGTTACGACCTTGAACATGTTTGTGTTGATCCAAGCAGCGTCTGGAGTTCTGAGGGTAGTTGAGTCTGTTGATGTGTCTAATCAGCGTGAGAAACCCCAGATGTCTGCGCTCAATGCTGGTGAGCAGAGCTTACAAACAAACAATATACTGTCATTGCAGCTTTCAGTCAATGTTGGTGAAAATGAACATTGTCATTCTCTTGGCACAAGCATTAGAGACGTTTTTATCACAACCCAACAGTGAAAGATTACCTAACAGTGATTATTTCATTCATGCTGAACTTAAGACGACGTAGAAGAGATTCATTCAATATATATATACACAAACACGGAAAAATGTTTTGGTAAGTAGCCTCCACATTCAGCTGTTGTGAAATCCATAGCAATCCAATTATGAAAAACTGAATCAAGAAATTCACAGTTGAGAACAGATCAGTCTGGCTGTGTTTCATAAAGTATGATATTATCAATAATAAGAGACTCTGCATGTCCCCCCATTTGCACGGCAACATTGAGCTCTTAAGTAAGAGCAAATACACTAAAACAAACAAGGCGGTAGAGCCCCTCAAGGTTTAAGCACACGAGTTGCGTCAATAGGTACGGGGAGATTAGACTGAGCATGATGAAAACGTTGTACAATTTATTGTATGTAAAGTCGAGGCCCCCCTCATGTGACGAATCGCTTTTGCAAAGAGAAAACGCGGCTGCAAATAGCAAAGTCTCCTAAAATAAGACAAAAACATTGAACTCATGACATTTACTCGGCATTATGACAACAGCTCCGTAATTCACACGCTGAGAAATTTAAAAGTAGCCAAATGTTTAAGAGAGTAATTACGCAAGTGTGATATGTGAATGTCTCTCCAAAAATCAGCTAGCGGAGGTGGATGGATGAACGCGTTTTGTTGGCGGAAAACACAGCGATGTTGGCTAGAAATGGATTTAACGTCTACACAAGACAAAACGTTTTTTTCTTTTCCCCCAGAAGTATAAACTGTGTGAATGCCAGAGCGATAATGTGAATAAACACCCTGATCCTCCCCATCGTCCAATCAGTGCGCTTTACTATTCACCTATTGGAATCTCTTTTCAATGATGTAGAAGATGCAAAACATTGGTGAGGTCCAATTTTGCAGAGAAAATAAACTGATTTTAAATAAATAAATTTCCTGGAAGTGTAAGCATCAAACGAGGCAGAAGCAACCAAAATCAAAGTAATTGAATTGAAGCTGCTGAAAGGAATCGAGAGCAATGGATGGAGTTGTAAAGTACACGTAATAAAAAGAGCTGGAAGTGTCAGCGTTAAGGATTCTGAAAGGAGCTGCAGACGTCACTTCAAGTGTAGCAACACAGAGCAGATATAGTTTCGTTACGTGAAATCCATTTGATTAAAATCTGAACTAAGACCATTTTAAAAAGCAACTCAAGATGCAACTTGAGCGTGTTTACGAGGAGTAAAGCGGCATCTCTGGTATCTGTCCTAATAGCATTCCAAGTATTCAGCACAATAACTGCAACGTGGGAACAGAGATCCCGCGGCCGGACGTCCTGACACGGAACGGCCCGACTGCCTTTTCTCTTGGATGGAAGTTAAGGAGTGTTTACTGGTGCCAGTGGGCCGGGCCTTCATGGGCTCGGTGGCTGAGTGGGTGAGTGGGTGGACTGCTGCACGGAGAAACTAAGCCCACACGTTTCCTCCACAGCTCCACGCCATGGCTGCAGCTCTCCCCACGCTCCTCTTCTGCCTGCACGTCTTCACGCTCTCAGCAACGGAATCTGCCTCCCAGCAAGGTATGTTCTTTAATGAGTACCCACATGTCATGGAGGCTCGAGACGCGTTTAAAATCATCTTCGGTGTATTCAAAAAAAATCATATTGTGTGATACTTGGTTTTGGAATCAGAAAATTGCACAACACCAGATGGAACTCATTTTTCAGACACGCCCTGTTTTTTTTTTTAACGGGCCACAGGACAACATGAGCCCTGTGCGAGTGTTGGACATGTGTTGTTGCATTGCTGCTACGTGGTCCGTGCCGATTTGGCATTCAAATGAAACGCGTTACACAACAGCGAAGCCCTCCGACACAGAGCTGCATTTCTAGGGAAGTTGCTTCCCAGGAATTCTAGAGAGCAGAGTGCTCTTGTGCTGAACAACGGGAAGCTGTTCAGTGCGTCCGGACTCTACAAAACAACCGCTCGCTGGCGGTGGAAAGGCCGCGTGTGTTTGCACACATGGTTTGCATTTTATCCACGGATATAAACTCAGTGTCACTGGCCCCCCGAGGTTAAAGTGGGACACGCTCGGTCTTGTTGCAAAATAAATGCCCGTATAGTGTCTAGGTGTGGACGCGCCCCTCCTCCTCCCCCCCCTGTTCTCCTGCTTCTTAGTTTGATTTATTAAAAAGGCATGAAATTCAAAATCAATGTGTTCCGTTTCCTCCCTGTAGAATTACAAGCGAGTAAGGGCGCTTTTATTAGGGCGGTGGCTGGATTTTATGATCAGCTGAAATCTTTACATTTTAATGTACAACTATTATCTTGTCCAGAAGGGCCGTTAGGTCGGTAAAAGGTTCTGTAATTGCGGTTGAAAGCTTTGTGGAGGAAGGAAATGGCTTGTTGTAAATACAGAGGATGAGCTCAGTGATTGATGTTCACACACGTTACTCTCTGCAGGCGTCGGATGTTGTTAGATGCCAAAATAAGAAAGAAAAAAAAAGCACACTAAATGCAACATGTTGTGTTCTACATATAATACATGCGATCAGCGGGAGGCATGAGTGAGTCACGTAGAGGAAATGAATACTAGCTGAGGTTTCCCTCATCCTTGGAAGCTGCCTTCGTGGAAACGCCTGTGAGCTCAACAAAACAGATTGAGCAAGGATGTTGTTTTCTTTCCCCCTAAAATAGACGCCGTCGGCACTTTAAGGGCAACCATGCTGATGTGAGCACGTTCACGTGTCACGCTTGTGGCTGTTTGCCCTGTCATGAGAAGATCAAGAAAATTACATTATACTTGCTTGGAAAGTGTGTGTGTGACCTGTAAGTGCTCTGCTTCTCCTGCACACACACGTTTACTTACTCCAGAAGTGAACTGTGTTTGACAGCCGGCGAGCAAACACAGCAGCGCTCACTTTGACAAGCACAACAATAAAAAGGGTTTGCAAGTCGATCGGGTAGCCTGTGATAAGACGTCAGCGCACACACCCCCCCTACTCAGTGGGGTTGGACACATTCCGTTCCAATAGCAAAACCACGATTTAAAAATACCAACTAGTAAATGTCCTGCAGCGGGAAGCTGTGAACTCGTCAACTTCCCTCATACAGAGATTGTCACGGGTTCAAGGCTGGGTGAGGACTCGACGGCGGAGACGGACATTGGAGATTTGAGTTGGGGAAAAAAAGAAGGTGGTTGTTTACTTCTCACCAAAAAACAATGAACTAAAGAACTCAAAGCGACCTCAACCGGGAGCGAGCAAAGATTCACAAAGGGTCGTTACAGAGACGCACAAGGGGAGGACCAATGACAACCTGACAAGTGGCGGGGGGGACACAGGGGGGGTGTATATATGAGGGGGTGATGAGGCAATTGGAGGCAGCTGGGTGGACGGGGCAGTAGGAGGAGTGCAATCAGGAGGAACACACACACACACACACACACAAGAGGCTAACGAGACGTTACAAATATACCGTCCTCAAGAATACACGTTGTGTCCTCGCATCGGTTCAAAGGCTTCATGTATTAGCTATCGTATATCTTTTAAAACATTGTATATGTGTTAGAAATGAATTGCTACAACCATGTGAAAAGACTAAACGATACAGTTACTACAATGAACATATTTAACCTTTTTTAGAGCCTTCATTGGACACAGCACGCGTTCCACAGCAGAGATTACCGCTTATTTTTTTCTCACAACTTTGGACCTTAATCGAATGTACTTCCACAGTGCTGTGGCAAAATGTTAATAAACCAATGTGACACATTTTCACGAACACTCGCGCAGAGCTCACTAACCACCCACGTGTATTACGATGAAAGGGACGCAATGACTGATCCGCATAGCTGGGTGTCCAATTCACTTTTTTCTTAATCCTGAGCCAAGCCGAGTTCCGAGGAGGAGTCGGGGATCTGATAAACAGTTTATTTTTACCCCGTGTCTCCCTGTCCCCGAAGCACCCTAATCGGGCCAGAGGTATTCATGACCTCCCCCGAGTGCCTCTCAGCCCGTGTGTGGTTCCTCTCCGACATCTTAATGCGGTCGGCTGACTGCAGCTGCTGAGTTATTGATCTTAAAGCCTCCCGGTAAACAATCAGCAGCGTTTCTTTATTATCACGCTCCCTTAGCGCTTTGTTTAAACGGCCCGTTAGGCCACATTAAACCCAGATAGTTCCTCACCAACCCGTAGAGGCCGGACTGTGACAAAGTGGTCCGGTCTGATTGTAGTCTGTAGTCTTTACCTTAAACATATGTCTATGCAAGGTTTATTCTGACTAGGTAAAGACACTGAGGACAAATAATGATTACAAATATAGTTAAAAAATGGATCGATCCATAGACATGATTGTAAACTCATAATCGGACCCTTCTAAAATGAGGTGGTTTAAATGGCTTTAAGTCAGCTGACATACTATGTAGTAGCAACAATATTTTATGATTATATCAACCCAGCTTGATGAATATGTTTTTCCTCATTTTTAGCAATATAGCTTTCACCTACAGCACAGTTAAAAATTAAAAATCAAGTCAATTTGTCATTTTTTTGAATGCCCTTTGTCAGTTTGAATCCACTACAAACAAGCGGCACACAGCTACGCTCTGCTGCAAGAGAACAGGGGCCACTCGGGGTTGAGTTTATTTTGAGTTGAGTACTTCATGTGCAAGAGAGTTTCTGAGTATAGAGAAGGCAAATAGCTCCGTCCATGAGAGCCGTGGCAATGAACTCTGCGGCGCGACAATGACAGCGTCACCATCGTAGCAATCATTTGCAAAAAGAAAAAGAAAAGAGACGTTTTCTACAGCATCAAAAAGAATTAGATGTGATGAATACAAGAGCATGTTTGTCCATCCCTCTCACTTCCTCTCCCTCTGTTTCCTACAGTCCTCCCCCAGATACACCCACGCATCACTGGTTGCGTCTCCGCCAACACGGAGACCTTCCGCTGCAGATGGAACGTCGGCCATTCACAGAGCTTCTCCCAGCCGGGAGATCTGCGCTTATTCTACATTACCATAAAGTAAGAGAGAACGTAATGTTTTCCCTTAGTTCACAGAGTTCAGGACCTTTTGAACTGACACGTAGTGACAGAAAACATCAAATGTGTGCCTTTTCTTCGCTGTTCAAGCAAATCAAGATAACATTTCAAACAATATTTAAACGAAAAATGAAGCAAATTCACGCAAAGGAGTGGCGTCTTGAGTGTATTTCTTTGCTAAATGAGGACGTTTCCTATCCCCTTCTTCCTCTGGTCCATGCCGTATTGTAAAAGGTGTTTTGTCCCCCTTGCAGACCTCCTGCTAATTTTCCTGGAGTGGAAGTGTGGAGTGAGTGTCCTCACTACAGCACCGACAGGCCCAACGAGTGTTTTTTCAATCAGGACCACACATCCATCTGGAATACTTACAGTGTGCAGCTCCGCTCGAGGGATCAAGCCACCCTCTACGATGAGAACCTTTTCCACGTTGAGGACATCGGTGAGTTTGCTGCCTAAGTGTGCGCCCTGGTAAAGTACCAATGCTCTTCCCTAACTTCCAGATGAGAAAAAAATATGTAAATTTTTGTTATTTTCTCAAATAAATGCATCTACTCTTGTACAAGAAGGAAATGGGACAATGAGTGTGAGCCAGGTCTTATGACCTAACATGAGTGTTGTTGTGTCTGAAAGGAAACCAATCCCTACAGCCAGCTGCTAAATACTGGTGGAAAGCCTGAGATTCCCTGACTCAAACTATCAGGCTTCTATGTATCGTAAAATGAATATGTATGTGTGAATTCACTCTGAAGTTTAAACTAAAGAGTCTTGTTCAACTGCTGACTGCTGAATAATTTTCTGTCTGTCTTGCAGTGCAACCGGATCCTCCCACCGGCTTGAACTGGACCCTGCTGAACGTGAGCTTGACGGGCACGCACTATGACATCATGCTGAGCTGGAAACCGCCCGAGTCAGCAGACGTGGGGATGGGATGGATGACGCTGCACTACAACGTCCAGTATCGCAACGTGGAGTCTGACCTGTGGGAACAGGTGGGTGTTTTATTTTATATTTTTAGCTGATGCACATAAATGCATAAGTTAAGAAGTTTCATCATTTCAATATACAGTAATTTATGAAAAATCAGCAGCACTGCTTCTCGCCTTTGAACCTTATTTTCATCACCACAGACCGACCTTGGGAAAGAGACACATCGGTCTCTTTATGCGCTTCGGACTGGCGTCAACAACGAGGTTCGGGTTCGATGCAAAATGTCCGGTGGGAAAGAGTTCGGAGAGTTCAGCGACTCTGTGTTTGTGCACGTTCCCTTTAAAGGTAAACACACACGCTGTAAACTGCAGGCTTGAAAAGAGCTTTTTTTTAAAAAGAGTTTTTGATTTATTCACTCCAGAAAATGCAGCTGGTTTGCCCTTGTCACCATGAAAAATAAATGATGTTCCCATGAAATTACTTTTACTTTTATTAACCGTGTTTCTTATTCTTTAACCTAAAAAAAAACACCATATACCAAAGTAAAGTAAATGTACATTTGTGTGCATCTTTATTCCCAGTGTCAAGATTCCCAGTGGTGGCCTTGCTCGTCTTTGGTGCCTTGTGTTTAGTGACCATCCTGATGTTAGTTATTATATCGAAGCAGGAAAGGTAAGTAGTTTCAAATCCTCTGTGTTTCTGTGGAGGACTGGAAGCTTTATGACAGCGTGGATGGATGAGAGAGCAGTAGGCTGCTCAGTGCCCCAGCGTCTGTGGAAAAGGGTTACATTCCATACGTCAGCTCCGCGATGTTTAAGAATTTTTAAATTAAAGGATGTTGTGTTTTCTGTTTGCCTTAGGTTCATGGCTATTCTTTTGCCTCCTGTTCCTGGACCTAAAATTAGAGGAATCGACTCTGACCTACTCAAGGTATTCATCTAGATGTTATTATGCTCGACCATGTTATAACTGTACACTTTGTATGAAGTTGGTTTGTCATATATATTTATATATGTATGTGTATGTACATATATTCTGTAAATCTATATGTAGATCTATTAATCCACTACTCATTTCCACTCGTACTCCACAGGAAGGATAGTGTACCATGTTGGGATAAGTCTCAATTATACAGGTTCATTGTGTTGGGGTAGCGACGGAAACTCAAAAAGGTTTTTCGTATTTATTTCCTTTCATCGGTTTGTTTCTCTCTTTTTGGAAAGTGGGAAAAGAATCCTGTTTTTTCGGGTGAACTTAACCTTTATAAAAAGGAAAACTAGAACTCCATTGTACAAGATAGCAGCTGGGGACATGCTACATTGCTGGAATGACGTTGGAAACATAAGCAGTCAAAAGGATTGGACAGATTTCTACACAGCAGGAGTTTGTTCAGACAACCATAAACGTTTCATTTGTAAAGTGAGCTTGTCCAAGTTCACTCCGCACACGGACAAGTATCAAAATTGGACCCGGAAGTAGATCTTTGTTTCCAACCTGTGGGCTTGTTCTAAACCTTCAGTCTGCTTGGGTTTCTTGACCTGTCCTTTAATTTACCAGTTCTAAGCAAATCAACTGTAGGGAACAATGTTACCTCACTGACAGAAAACCTAACAAACAAAGACATAATAAACAGTAATTATACTTATTAAACGGGTATTGTTATTCTAACAGAAAGGGAAGCTGAAGGAGTTGAAATCCATCCTGGGTGGCCCTCCCTTCCTGAGGCCGGAGCTGTACAACCACGACCCCTGGGTGGAGTTCATCGATCTCGACATTGAAGAGCACAGCGACCGACTGACGGACCTGGACACGGACTGTCTGGTGGAGCGCTCCCTGTCCTCCAACTGGTCTCCTCTCTCCATTGGCTTCAGAGACGACGACTCGGGCCGGGCCAGCTGCTGCGACCCAGATCTTCCCAGCGACCCGGAACCGTCTCCTTTCGTTCCTCTCATTCCAAATCAAACCAACGGAAAGGAACCGACCACCTGTGAGCTAAGCTCCGAGGTCCACGGCGCCGCCCCCGGGGAGCCTCGTCTGGTGGCACCGTGCAGAGAGCGGCTGTACACCCAGGTGAGTGATGTGAGGTCATCTGGCAAGGTGTTACTGTCCCCTGAAGAACAGACTGAGACGGGACGAGACACTGGCAAAGACATCGTGGTGGGGAAAGAGAAGAAAGTTCTTCCGCTCCTGGTGGTGAATCCAGATCAGGGAGGTTACACGTCAGAGCTCATCGCGGGAAAAATGAGCCCCACGTTTTCCTCAGGAGGCGTGAGTGAGACCCGCCAGACTGGAGAAGTCTTGGTTTCGTCAGAGCCTCCGTCGCGTCACCAGGAATCAGACCCCACCGCGTCCCCTCTTCCCCCTGCTCCAGTCTACACCGTTGTAGATGGAGTTGGCAGGCAGAACAGCCTCTTACTGACACCAAACTCAGTACCTGCCCCGCAACCGGCAGTTACAAAAATCATGCCAACACCAGACGGCTACCTGACCCCCGACCTTATGGGAAGCGTGGCACCATAGACCACCTGGGCAAAGTCGAGACTATTCCATCAAAGGTACTGATGAGCTCGGGAACAGGCTTTGAGATTGAGTGTTGAATGTCAGTTCCCATAAAATAATAAGGGGCTCTGCTCCGGTCCCGAACCCAGCTCGGTCCTGCCGCTGCTCCAACTGACGTAGCTCTACAGGGTTGGTTAGAAGTTTGAAGCGAGCGAGGAAGAGCACATGTGTTGTCCTGTGGAAAGGGAAAAAGGAAACCCTTTCATTCATTTTGGTTGATGTTTTCGTCCGCTTAACGAACTTGGCAATTTCAATATTCACTCCCCTGTAAGCCCTTTGTTTTGGTCCCTTCAAGCCCTCGGAGGAATAACTGGGTCTGGCTGCTAAAGCCTCCACTGCTTTCACTTGCTTCTTTGCGCATTTTCTGCTCCCAAATTTTTGCGCCATGAGCCAAAAGAGACTAAAAAGGCTTTATTGAGTTGCGCAGCTGCTGTGGTTTTATCTCTACGAGTTCCACTTTTGACATTTCAGTAGTAGTCATTTCATTCATACTGTATATATTTACGGTAATTGTAAATATAGCAGAGTAACATTGATAATTCTTATCACCATAAAGAAATAATTGTGTTTTAATAACATCAGGTCATAACTTATTGATATAATGTGCCTTCTCTTTTTATCTGGTTTTCACAATGTTTTTCCAGAATAGTGCCAAAATACAAAAGTGCTACTTAACCAATTAGAAATCCAGTTTTTTTAATAATAGTACTTCTTGTGGTTTATGAAATATTTTGTCGCTAACACATGAACTTCTGAATAAGTAAAATAAAGCATGACATCAACTTGTTTGAAAGGTAAAAATGAGGTGCATAGAACTTTGATGCAATTTTCAAAACATGATTTTAAAATATTTTTTGAACTGACATGTTTGCAGACACATTTTGATTTTCTTGTTTCTGTTTCAAATTCAAAGTTGGGGGTACATGGTCATCATTGTTGAAGTGGTACATTTTGACTGTTTAAATATTACAAATAAACTTTCATACCTTTGCCGTTTGTCTTATCAATATCAGATAGTTTTAGTTTGGTTCAGAGTGTCCTAAAGGAATACATGTATGCCTTAAAAAAAATCACAAATATAAGTGATAAAAGGAAATCTAATATGAATTTAAGTAAATGTTAAAGAATCGTTTTAGTGAAAAGCACAACGGATTATAGTGATCAGAAGTCACAGTATAGCACGTCAAGAAATGAAAAAATGTCAGAAGCAATTTGTTAAGGATGTTCAAAACATCATTACAAAGTAAACTCAAACAAATGATCGATAAGTAATGATTTTCATAGTAAGAGTCAACGCGTGTTCTAGGTTTTACGGTAAAAGGGACTATCAAAAGGTACACGGACCTGCACGGACCCGCCAGCCTTAATGCGGAATCACCAAGAAGTAAAAGGCTCCCCCTAATGGGATTGATCCCTCTCGTGTAATGAGCGAGAATTAAATATTCCAGTCACCAGTCCGTCAAGCTCCTGAAGTTTGCGGATGACACCACCCTCATTGGACTGATCTCTGGTGGGAGTCTGACCATCTGGTGTCGTGGTGGAGCCAGAACAACCTGGAGCTCAACGCTCTAAAGACAGTGGAGATGGTTGTGGATTTCCGGCGGAACAGAGCCCCACCCTCCCCCATCACCCTGTGTGACTCCCCCGTCACTATTGTGGATTCCTTCCGTTTCCTGGGCTCCATCATCACCCAGGACCTCAAGTGGGAGCTGAACATCAGCTCCATCATCAAGAAGGCTCAGCAGAGGTTGTTCTTCCTGAGGCAGCTGAAGAAACTCAACCTGCCAAAGACGATGATGATCCACTTCTACACGGCCATCATCGAGTCCATCCTCTGCTCCTCCATCACCGTCTGGTACGCTGCAGCCACAGCCAAGGACAAGGGCAGGCTGCAGCGGGTCATCCGCTCTGCAGAGAGGGTGATCGGCTGCAATCTGCCGTCCCTGCAGGACTTGTTCGCTTCCAGGTCTCTGAAGTGAGCTAAAAAGATCGTGGCCGACCCCTCCCACCCCGGACAAAAACTGTTTGTGCCCCTTCCATCTGGCAGGAGGCTGAGGTCCATCAGGACTAAGACCTCCCGCCACACGAACAGTTTCTTCCCGTCGGCAGTCGGGCTCATCAACAGAGCCCGGTCCCCCACTGACTGACTATAACACTCCACCGGTCACTCCCCTTCATACTGCACATGTCACTTTAACTGTAAATTATCACTTTGTCGTCACTCGTCACTTTGTTACTTGTTCGCTAGTGCACTTTATGCTTAATATTTTTTAACTTTTTTAATATTTTAAATTTTAACTTTAACTTTATTCCCTTGTTTTATACTAACCCATAGCCTTATTCTTATTTTTACTAACCCATTGCATTAGCATTTCATTTTACTTTATTTTATTACTTGTGCACTGCTGTCTTGTTGTCTACTGTTACATTGTCTGTCATGCACCAACCGCTAAGACAAATTCCTTGTATGTTGACATATTTTGGCAATAAATGTTTCCTGATTCCTGATCTGATCAAAGGCCAGATCTTTGCCTTCTAACTGGCGGCACAAATTGGCCTTCTCAGTTTCAATGTAGGCATTGAGTTCGCTCACTTGCCTTTTCAGGCAGTGCACTTCATTGTTGGCTCGATACAGTCGGAGGACGTCCAGGGAATGAAGCTCCAGCTCCAGCTCTCTGGTTGTTTCATGGTGAATACTTGTGTAGTCTTGAAAAAGACTGTTGGTCAGCCCTGAAAAGGGGTGTAGTCTTGAAAAAGACTGTTGGTCAGCCCTGAAAAGGGGTGTAGTCTTGAAAAAGACTGGTGTTTTATCTGTCGCTAAATGACTCAATGTAACCTTTGAAAAAGTGGTGAATCTTCCAAAAAACGACTTAAGTCTGTAAAGGACAAATATCACAGATACTTTCGAGAGAAAATATCCAACTGCACTCTTCTGGAACCATAAACGCAATGATCTAGTGTTCCGAGACACATCAAAGACATTTGCTGATGATGTCACAAATTGCTTTGAAGAACTATTCCGTTGCCATGGAATCGATCGCCCCCGGCAACTTGGCTATGCATTCCCCTGGAAACAGGTATGGCATCCAGTAAATTACAGCCAAACCCATTTTGTGTAACTATATATATATATATATATATATCCATTGATGCACGCCAAGGTTTTGTGTTAGTTTCTTATGTGTGAAGTGTGTCTCACAATGGATAAACACAGATGTTATGGATCATCTCCTCTAAATACAGTTTCTGATTCAGATCCATGAACGCAGCTCCCATTATCTAACTTTGATCTTAATGCAGCTACATAACACATCTGACCCTACGAGGATCATTTTACACACTTTTAAAGGGTTCTCTTCATGAATATGAATATTGTATATTGCATTCAATTAGCATATTAATATCTTACCTTGGTAATGACAAAACAGTTTTTCATTGCACTTTTATTGTGTTGCTGTCCTCAACCTACGTTTCCTCTTGGCAGGAACAGACAGCTAGCGTACGCTTTCCTTTATGAATAAAGATGAACTACCAGCCTTGATTTTCAAATGTGTAATGCTTTCATCCTCTGTAGTTATTCATGCCGGATTGATCATTGTCAAACTGGAAGAGACAAAACAAAGGGTACATAAATACCTCGTAAAACAACGTGGCACCAGGATAACATGACACAGAGAGCTAGCATAGTTTAGCTGGAATTGAGAATTCCTGTGACATTTATAAACATAAATTCAACATACTTTCTAAATTGTCTAAATCTATACAACAACACAAAACATGCACTCACAGACGAATAATGTCCGAAGGCTCTTCCAGGAGGAATTCAGCTGCGACCAACAACGGCGGGTTCTCTCCATGAAGTGAAGCGAGCCTCGTGTGGCCGCTCCACTAGGCGGCTGTATTTACTCACGTGAAACTACTGACGTTACTACATTTATGGTGGGCATGTCACACCTTCTGTTTTCTATAATGCCATAAGGTGATTCTTCCACAAGACGGCTCTGCACCACCAGAAACGGGTTCAGCCTTCGAAGGCCTTTGTTAAACTCTTCCCTTTGTTGGTGTTTGTTCTCATTTACAGCTAAAAAAAAATGTTATTAAAGATGCCTTGCGACGGTTGAGTGAAGCCAATTAAAGGTTTAAAAACTCCAGAGCTGTGCAGGTTACACAGAACGTACTTCTGTAAATGACAGTATGTAATGAGTAAGCAGTATCTAATCACTATTGGGGATGTAATTCCAGTTCTTCAAGTATGTTCAAAGCAGTTGATAAAATCACAGCGTAAATGACAAAATGTAAACGCGGTTGCTGTGGCCGATATGATTACATAACGCAGAGCAGCACACAACTATGAATCATTACCGACACCTGCGGGAAGTATCTAAGGCTTACCTGTTTATAATAATATGTCTTCTTTACATTCACAGTTAAAATGTCCTGCTGCATTTTAGTGAATAAAATGTTAGTCAATGTGAATTTCAAACCAACTCAAACAGTGCCCTCGTGTTTGTTTTTATTGATTTGGAGGGACATCATATTCCCTTTAGTGCTCTACACATGAGACACAGCGTGAAGTCCACTGCTAGGATGAAAAATGCTGTGGTCATTTTCTTAGATAGCATACACCTAAAAACACCTAAAAACAGGTGAGCAGAGTTGGGACAAGCAGGGTGCAGGAGGTGGATGAAGAGGGGACAAAGGTGGACCAGCAGGTCAAAAAGAAGGGGACCGAGGTGGGTCAGCAGGCGGAGAAGGAGAGGACAGAGGTGATCCATTCAAACACGAGACAGAGCATCAGCAACCACATTTTCTGACCCCTTTATGTGTCGTATCTCTAAATTGTAACTTTGTATAACCAACGGCCAACGCATGAGACGTTGGTTGTGGTTGTACATGCGGTCAAAAAAAACTAAAGGATTGTGGTCAGTATAACAGGCAACACACTGGAGGCAACATAAACTTCAAAAAACTGCAATGCAAACAGCAGCGCCAGAGTCTCCTGTTCTAGAGTAACCGGACTGGCAACTGTTGAATGTTTTAGAGTAGTAACAAACTGGGTGATGTACTCCATCATGTTCCTGCAACAGTACATCACCTGCACCCACAGAACTAGCATCCACCTCTAACTTAAATGGTTTTTCAAAATCAGGGGCAGACAGAACCGGAGAAGTGCATAATAGGTCTTTCTAAAAAGACCTAAGCAGACTGACACTCATCAGTCCACTTAAATGACACAGAAGGACTGAGTGGGTCAGTGGGGCTACGACAGAGGAGAAATTCCTGCAAAAGGTTCGATAATACCCAGTCATGCCCAAGAACCTGCGCAATTCCCGCCGAGTAGCAGGGGCAGGAGACCGGGTGATAGCCTCTACTTTGGCAGTTACGGTGTGAACCTGACCTCTTCCCACCTCCTTACCTGATTTAATTATATTTAACTGTGTTTAAGTTATTTATGTAGGTTATTACAGATGTATTTAATGCTGGACTTTTGGTTTCTTTGTTTATAATCATTATTTGTCCCACTTCAATCCTGAATGTAAACCGAAGAGGTCAAAGGATGAGAAGATCTAATGTTGGTCTGTGTTCCAAAGAAAATTACTTCAGTTTTATTGCAGTCAGATTTCTTACTATTTTGAAAAAAAGAAGCCTTAAGTTATCACTGATTGTGTCCATGTTAGTTCCACCTCAAAGACAGATTTTAGGGCAGCTTCTCGATTGCACCAAGACATTTTTTTCCCAAGAGAATGTTATTGTTAAACATTCAATACTTATTTTAAGGAAGAGTAGTGGTAGTTACTGAGCCAGCAAACCCGAATGCATCAGTAGCTGCAGAGTGGTAACAACAAGAGGTGGTACTTTATCTTCTTGCAGTAGTTTTTTGCTATTTAGAGTAGTAAAATGATGAAGAAATTAAACTGTGTGAACCTGGACAGGTGTCTGGAGGAGTTTACTCAGCTCGAACGGGTAAGGCCGCTTTAGCTAGCTTGAGTTAGCTAACGTTAGCTATGCTAACGCAATGTTAGCTCATTAAGGATGTCTTTGCTGGCGTTACACTGTTTGACTTAACGTTATTTGTCTGTCTTACCAGTTATTTCTTATTTTTAGGACTGGACTAATATTTAAAATTTCGAGAATAATCTGTATGAATTTAGGACAACTTAATAAGTAGCGTTAGCCTCGTGAATGACCTTAACCTCAGTCATTTATTACCGTGTTAACTTATTTACTGTTTCCTGATTCTGTCCTTATTAACGTTATATCAAAGAGAGTAAGTTCTCAGTAACGTTATTTAATTTAAATTATTGCTATTTCGTTCAAACAGATGGATATATTAGATACACAATGTTAAGTTCAACTGAATTAAACGTTTAACTTCAGGCTTAACCATATTGTCTGGAATGTGTAGAAGTATAACCTTTTAGTACCTATAAAGTTAACCCACCCATATAAAGTTATGAAGGTCTGTTGCCTTTACTTGTATGAAACAGAATATCACAGAGGTTAATGGCAAAAACCACGTGTTGGAGATCCTGCTGGAGGACGCCAACAGACTCATGAACTTCCGTTTGAGCAAAGAGAAAAGTCTGATTGAGGGTCAGTATTTTCATGTTAAACTTGCAGTTGTATTTCACATTATCACTCATATTTTACAACATTTATTTTCTGGGATTTAGGAGCCGTGTTGATCTTCATTCTGTGACCCTTTTCATCTACTTTTTCATGCAGGTTAACATTTAAAGACATTTGAGATATATCACCACGATGTTATGACGATAAAGGTCAGACTTTACATACTTTTAGTTGTATGGAAACCACAGGATGGGTTAGTTTCAGTTAAATACACGGTTAGGTCAATTAGAAAAACCACAACATACGTTTCATTCACAAACAATGTTCCCCTTTGAGTCAACTAAAAACCTTTTAAGCAAACATATTGCTAATTCTGTTGATTTTGCAGAGAGAGACTGTCTTTTGGTCGCAGTGAACGGACTGCAGCAGACTCTGCAGCAGCAGTGCGACCTCAGAGGTAAATGCAATCACACACGGACACACACACGGTATATTATTGTATTTATAATACAACTGGATACTTACTCAAATCAGTATTTTTAAGGGAAGAGATGTAGCAGTTTCAACACATAAGCAGCAGGAAAAATATGATGGTCTGCAACAAATATATATATTCTAGATATGATAGTGTTGCTGTTGTAGTTTTTTGCTTTTGATGTTGTATAGAAAATATTCCAAATGGCCTATTGCCTGAGTGCTACCTACTTAGTAGCATGAGTATAGTTGGGATCTATAATTGTCAATAACCAATATTACAAAGTAATTTACACACACTCTTTATAAAGATTTGATTCACATATTTTGAAACCGTTGATGTCGTAGTAGAGAATGAGAGACTGAAGAAGGATTTCGTGGAGGTGAAACAACGCAACGAGAGAGCAGCAAAGGTGAGAGCTGAGGCCGGTGAGAGAGGTGAACTGAATACAGCAGGCAGGATTAGTTGGAAGGGGAAGCCGGGCCGTGGATAAGAGGACCATCTCTGTGTGTAGCGATACGAACGTTTGAAGAGTTCATAAACCGCTGTTTATATATGTGGGCTTTTCACAACAAATTCATTTCTACGGGGGACAATTACATTTCATTATCATTTAACTGATTAGTTGCAAAACAAAAACACTCTACCACTGTGTGCATGTTTTGTGAGCTCTACAGTCAGTACTTTTTTACAAATAATCTACATAAATTTGAAGTTGTGATTTACAAGTTGTATTTTTGAATTTTATTTATATTTACTTATTATATATACTTTTTGTCATTTAATGGTAAAAAGCTGAGGCTTTTCTTTGACTGGAATTCATTTTTGATCAATTTGAACCCTTTTAATGCTCTGTTTTAGTTTTTTATTACCTATTGTGATTTTTGGCTGTAGATATCAAACCAATCGTGAAAACCGATTGCAGGATAAAGTCCACTTTGCTAACAAACAATTGGATCCAACAGCTATTGCGTTTCAGTTTGATCTGACACCAGTTTTGTAAATATAATATATATATATATATATATATATATATATAATATTTAAATACTAGCAATATTTTAAAGTAAGGTGCGTTCGTCAGGACGCAGCGGCTGAGCTTCAGCGCCTGGACGGTGAAATGAGGGCCGAGGGAGAGAGACACAAGAGGGAGCTAGAGACGGCTCGCCAGCAGTGCAGGAGGGAGGTGGAGGAGTTCCGCACGGAGGCTTTCAATCAGCGTAAGACCAAACACACAGGATATTTCAGGAAATACTTAGATCAGAATAATAACCTCACTACAGCCCCAAAGTTGTAGTGCAAGTTATATATATTATAGTGCTCAGTTATATTAGTGAAAGGAATTAAAGCTTTCCATCACTAATAATTATATCCCTGTAAGAGAAGAAGACTGTAAGGATTCATCTGTTTTTGGCTGCTGTTTTTTTTAATTTTTTTTTATTAACTCGCAGTGGAAGCTAAGGATGCTGAAGTGAAGACTCAGCTGGAGAAGAAAGATCTGGATCTGGAGGAGTTAAAGAAGAGGCTGAAGGAGCAGGAGAGGGAGCGGCAGAGCGAGCTCTTGAAGTTACAGATGGAGGTAAATTAAATGTTCCTGCAGGGATTTCTTCGGATTTGCTGCGTAAAATGAAAAAGAGGGTAAGGACTTTTGAGTGACCTAGGATCAGACTGACTGTTGGTCTGTTCACACCTATCAGCTGATGTTAAGCCCCTGCCTTTGAGCAATATCCCCCAAACAATTCATCTGTATGCGGTTGATTAAGGGCACTGTGTTCCCGTAAGTCAGCGCTGCCTCTCTGCTAAAGGAAGCAGGTGAGCTCTGGTTTCACACGTGGACATGAGACAGTTCACATGACTTAAACATGAGCAGGAGTCCCAGAAGTCACTTCAGCTTTGAGCACGGCCTTGCTTTTCTCAGCTTTATGTTATTGTTTTTTTTGCAGTTTGGTGCAAAGTTAGCCAGAGTTCAGAGTACAGCTCAGTGGAGCCAGCAGCAGCAGCAACACGGCTCCAACCTTCTTCCACAGAGTGTCTTCAAGAGGGTGAGTCTCCCACACAGAGTACTGACATCTTTGGTTACATTGTATAGGTACCCAACAAGATACACAACACAACATCTGCTGCCTCTAGACTTCACTTTGTGCTCGGCTCATCACACACATGTCTGTCCAAAGTTGTTAGCAGCTCGATGTGCAGTTAGACACCAAATTATAGAAGGAAATTCAGCATTTCAGAAATCACAAAGGAAAATGAATACAATCCATGTAGTCCTAAAACACCTTGGATTAGTTACCTGAAAACACCTCAGGCAGCAATTCATAAGAATCACTGGATGAAAGATTCAGAACGAGCAGCTGGTCATCGTCTTCTGTTCTGAGAAACGGTGTGTGTGTGTGTGTGCGTGTGTGTGTGTGTGTTCCCAGAAGCTGCAGTCCTTCCAGGAGGAGAAGAACAAGGAGATTGCGGCTCTGCGTCAGAGAATCAAAGAGCTGGAAGAGAACCAGCGCAGCGGCGTCCTTAACGACAGCCATCTGAAGAAGAGGAAGATCTAGTTTGATAATTGACCAGCGTGCCGTTGACCTCTCAGCTTTTCAGGCGCACGATTCTCTTGTTATTCACTTATTTAACGCCACCGCTGCTCGTGCACGTCACACTGGTCTCGCCGCGTTCCCGCCCTGCTCGTTTGTAGAACACATGTGAGCGCAGACAATGTTCCTGTCGGAGGCCTTAATCCAATCAGACGCCTGCATGCGAGGAAGTGGGGGGGAGGCGCTGGAGCAGCAGAAGTCAGGGTGAATCAGTGAGGAAGGAAGGCCAACCACATTCAGGGAATTAGATCAGTTCATCTCCTTTCACTGATTGATCACCTCACTTGTTTCCTCGTTTCATATTACTCAAAGTCCAACCAGCGTTTAACTACTGGCTACTGTTACTACTGTTGGCATTTCTAAAATAAAGAAGAGCTCCTAAACTCTGGTCCCTGAAAGCTTTGTTCACAGATTTGACTCATTCTTGGAAGAAGACGTCTGCAAATATCGTTGTGGTGCCTGTGATGTGACGTCTTCACTGACTGCGCTTCATTTCTAAGATCCCTTTCAGCAGTTTTAAGAGAAGAGGGATTCAAATGGATATTAGATATTGAAAGTCAGGAGAGAAATTTGAGAGTAAAACAAATAAATGATCTATGCTGCATTTATGCTTTTAAATAAATAGCATTAATGAGACAATTTGATGAAGAATCCTTAAATTATTTTACAGCTGGGCAAAACTTCAAAATCTTTAAGATGTATTTAATTAGCAAATGCATCAAATAGTCACAAGTTCCAAATTGCTCAATGTGAGGCTCTGCAGCTCTTCTTGTCGCATAGAATAGCAAGCCTCACATCTGTGGTTTTAGACCTTTGGTAGGAAAACAATAAGAAGCAATAGGAAGAATTCACCTGAAGAAAAATCATTTTATTTCAAAAATCTGTGTGACAAGCCACGTAAACTCCACCTCGATCATTGAACAGTGCGCCCTCACTTCGACAACACACCTGTATAAAGACGATTGGCCTGATGACGTTTTGACCTTGGCTTTTTAATCTCTTTATCTGTGCTGCTCAGCCTGCGTCTGAAGGGAACAGGGAGCTAATCTCCATGGGAACATTGGGTCACGGCGTTGCATAACACGTCATCCTCACAGAAGCAGAGAGCCACCTCAGGCTGCGTAGCACAGCAGACCCAAGCATTTGCAACACAAACCGTGGACACGGTGTGCACGTCTCTGCTTTTACACTTATTTCTTCTTCTTGTTTCTACTTCTCCTGCGGACCGACATTCGGAATCGGAAAGGACTGGCGAAGGGACGGATTTAAACGGGATTAGAGTTCATTGCACCACCTTAATGAGGGGTGGGGCCTGCAAAGCTCTTGGTGTCCGTCCCAAAACAGACGCCCCCCGCCCCGCCGCTCCTGTGTCTTGCGGCATCAGTACACAGTAGTGTGTACTGAGAGGACTGAGAGGGAGACCTTGAAGGCACCGTTCTGATCAGCGTACCCGGACCTAGCGCAATGATTTGGGGACAAAAGGTCAGACTTCCGCATGCAAGTGAAGTAAATTCCCTTTTCCGGATCCCACGGGGCCAAAGGAACTTGTTTTATATTGCTACATGCAATGGATTCCACCGCTGTGTGTTAATGCAGTACAAAACTTTGGAAACTTGGTAAGAAAAAAAGAATATTGCTTCCTATATTTGTTTTTGCAGCCATTTGACATCTTCCTATGCTTTATTGCAACATATGTATAAACCGTTGCTCAAGCCCACCCCAACCGTTTGTAGTTAAAGTGAGTTTTTACTAGACGTAGTAGCTACTAGATGTCATAATTATGTGCCGGTGAAGACTCTGACCTCCTCTTCGACCCGTGGCAGAGATGCCTGGAGGCGAGTACGAGGTGGAACCCACGAAGCGGCACCACAGCCTCCACAGCCTGTCGGAGAGCTCTGAAACCGGGCCGGACGATGAGGGCCCGCCGCCCCTAACCCCCCTGCAGAAGCTCACTGCCGACATGTGCAAGGACGAGAAGACCATCAAGGACCTGATCGTAGGCCGCAGGGTGGGCTTCTACAAGGTCCGCGGGGAGATTGGCTGTGGTACCTTCTCCAGGGTCAAACTGGGTTTCCATGCTCTCACAAAAGGTACCGAAGGTGTCTGTGCTGTCTTTTACTTTCTGTGCTAAATGAAAATGACACGTTTTGTTTTAATGAAAGAGAGCAAACGTTCCCATTTGAGAAGCTGGAACGTTGGGCCTCCTTGTTTAACGTCCCGTTAGTGGACTGTTGTTTTAACGTCTCCGTGGTTCCTTCATTTGTCCTCCTCGTAGACAAGGTAGCCCTGAAGATCCTGGATAAGACCAGGCTGGACAGCCAGGCCCAGCGTCTGCTCTACAAGGAGATCAGCAACATGGAGTGCCTGCACCACCCCAACGTGGTGCGCCTGTTTGAGGTGGTGGAGACGCCGAGCCGCCTCTACTTGGTGCTGGAGTACGCGGGGGGCGGAGACCTCCACAGCAGGATCGCCACCGACGGAAAACTGTCCGACAACGCCAGCAAGATCATCTTCGCCCAGATCCTCTCCGCCATCAAATATATGGTCAGTTTATTCATTCTAGTAGGTCACGGTTTTTCTGATTTGAAGTACTTGACCGGTTGACTAAAAGTGTCTCCGCAGACGCTACATTAGACGTCCTTCCAACGTTTGTGTTTTCCTGCCGCGCAGCACGACATCAACGTCATCCACCGGGACCTGAAGGCGGAGAACGTCCTGCTGACCTGCAGCGGCTGCGTGAAGGTGGCCGACTTTGGATTCAGCACGCAGGTTTCCAACCGCAGCGTGGCCCTCGACACCTTCTGCGGCTCGCCGCCCTACGCCGCCCCGGAGCTTTTCCGGGACGAGTGCTACCTGGGGGCCCCGGTGGACGTGTGGGCCATGGGGGTCCTCCTCTTCTTCATGGTGACCGGCACCATGCCGTTTCGCGCCGAGACCATAGGGAAGCTGCGGCGCTGCGTCATCGAATGCGCCTACACCGTCCCCCCCTGGGTGCCCGGCCCCTGCCAGAGGCTCATCAAGGGCATCCTGAAGGGGGACCCCGCAGAGCGCCACGCCGTCGACCAAATGCTGGGCTGCGATTGGCTCCTGCCGGTGCAGTTTCCCTGGACGATGGCGACTCCTGAACTTTCCAGCCCTCTGCAGAGCATGCTGGACTCGGAGCGCAGCGACCTGGCGGAAGAGGTGGAGCAGGTGGAGGAGGAGGTCAGGAGCTCGCTGGAGGAGCTCGGCTTCAGCACGGAGCACCCGCCCAACGGTCGTCCCAAAGACAGCCGCAGCGCCGTTACCGGGGTTTACCGGATCTTGCTGCACCAAGCCCAGAAGAGGAGGGGCTGCGACAGTCCCCCGGTGGTCCGAGGGATGGTGAGGGACCCCAAGAGGGAGGGGCTCCGGGCCTACAAGGGCCTCAGACACACGTCCAAGCTATGTGTGCTTTCATAGTAATAATATGACTTTTTTTATGCACAACATGTCATTTGTAGCTCCGGTGCTTTTTTATTCGACATATTATAGTTTGCAGGGAAGTGACTTTCTTTTTTCTTTTTTTTTTACCAACAAATACTTTAAAATGTACTTAATTTCAGTGCATATTGTTTGGGGATAGCCTGTGGTATATATCAATGTGCCTTATGAAGTTAAGAGGCCTGTGTAGTTTAAAATATCCAGAACTTTTAAGAAGAAATAGTGATATCTAAAATTATAAAAATGAATATAATTTTGTGCCACTTATTTATTTATACAGATATGTAAAATGATCAGACTTTTTTTCTTGTAAGGATCTCTTTTATTCATGCAAATATGCAAAAATCCTTTGGTGTGCAGGGGGGGGTCCTTAATATGAAGATGGTACGTTTGTAATAGTGAGAGCGGAAAGCTTTAAAAATAAACCTCATCACTTGAAGCGGTTCAAATTGTTCATGCAAACTGTTGGAAAAGACACTGACGCGTCACGTTACGCAGCAGGTGCACGCGGTGCGCGCGCTCGTGCCTTGTTTACAGTCTCTCTACGGGCCTGCGAGTAAATAACTGTCACGGTCACGACAGCAGCTGGCAGGACACCAGGTGATACTCGGGACGCCCCGTCTCCATCGCCACAACCGGCCCAAACCAGACTCAACCCGGCTCCCCCCCCCTTCTGGCGATGGAAAACGCACCAATCCCCGCCCCCTCGCGGCCCTGCCCGCCCCCACCAGCAGGAATGGGCAGATGGTCCGGCGGGGCTGCGGAGACATCTGCAGGCCGAACAATAGGCGCTCTGTGCGGACCGCTGGAGCTGACAGGCCCGGAGCTCCCGCTATTGTGCGCCGCGCTATACACATGCAGATGAGGCCCGCGGGGGAGGGTCGGGTAGGGGGGGTTCTGTTCTTTTTCACTGCCAGCAGATGACGGGCTGCGCCTTTCACACAAATCTGCTGGGTTTGTAACTTTTGTTAGTTTCATAAGCACCGCCCCGCCCCCTCCTGTCTGACCCCCCCCACACCGCCTTCACCCAAACCCGCACGATACACGCATCTCAAGCAGACACTTCCAAAGAATATTTACTTTTTGTTTTTTTTATTAAGCATTTTCATTGACAATTTCAATCCATTTCTACAATGAATCTGTATCTGTTTGATGTAGTTTCATAAAGTTTTTCCAAACGTAGTTACAAAAGGATCAGAAAAGTCGGTCATTTTTTCATTTTGTTTACATTTCAAGTGAATGTTTATGTTAACATCACACATTCTCGTCATTGTTAACATTTACTTTATTGCTCTATTTTCTAAAGTGAAACCTTTAGAGAACACAATCTCTTTCAATGTTATTTTTTTTTAGAAAATTATTTGTCATCGTTGAATTTCTAAAGTGAAACCTTTAGAGAATAACATTTTTTCTCAATTTTTTTTTTTAGAATATCATTTGTCATTTTTAAATTTCTAAAGTGAAACCTTTAGAGAATTAAGACAATTCTGGAAAGTGGGAAGCATTTTCGCTGATTGCAACTGTTGTCCTGTTGCTCAGCAAAGAGGACATCGTTAAAAAAGTCTCTTTTTAAGAAGGCCTCTTCCTCAGCACCGCTTCTTCTCCTGCTGCGCGTGCTTCAACGTGCGCCGTTCGCTCTGTGGGGCCACAGGACGCAGAACTCGCATCTCCTTCCTCTCCAAACCTCATCCGCACAAAGAATGAGGGTCGACGTGTCGCTCCTGCGGCATACCTGACTCTCGTTCACATAAAGAATGAGAGGCATCTTGGCATGGACGGGACAAGAGGCGACGGGTCACGGCGGCGTGCCGGGGTGGTGGGGGGGGGGGGGCTCCTCGGGCCGGCGCCGTGCTGCCTGGACGGGAACCCTCCTCAGGAGGATCCAGGGATGAGCAGAAACAGGGTCACCCTGTCCATCAGGGTGAATATTTCCAGATAAGAAGCTTCACAGCATCTCGAGCAAGAGAGGAGCCGAGGCCCGGATCAGCGCTCGGGGAGGACGATCTCGGGCACCCAGTCGTTCACATTGCGGCTCTCCTCGCAGAACAGGTGCAGCTTCTCCAGAGCGGGGTCCTCCCAAGACCCTTCGGCTGGGTTCTGTTCAGGCAGGAGGAGGAAAAGAGGCTTTAGTCACGTGTTGCTCTCCAAGAGGGCATCAACTATATAGACTTCACAGCTGATGTGTAATGGCGCATTCTCGTTATCTGAGCTCCACGTACCGTGATGAGGACACAGTGGGCGTCTTCCAGCTGCGCCTTGTCACCGACAATCTCAGCCACGCGCTGCGTGTCGCTCACTCTGACGATGCTGATGTCGTTGTCGAAGCAGAAGGACTGGATGAGGGTGAAGTGGATCTGCAGAGCGATGTCACACTGGAAGTCCTCGTCCATGGCCAGGACGCAGAAGGACACGCTGTCTGGGTCGCTGCGTGGACAAAAGAGAAGGAGATCGTGAGATTTCATCCAATATCGATACAAACTGGATAGATCATGCAAACGCAGTGTGCTAAATCCTAAACCTCAAACGTGCAGTTTCATACTTACAGATTCATCACTTTTGCGCACTCGTAGACGCCAACGGTGAGCGCGTCGTTGTCCTGCGCGGACACCAGGACCTCCTCCAGGGCTTTGCCGGTGCACTGTGCACGCTCGGCGGGTTTCTGGATCAGAACTTCCTCAAAAGTCATGGTGAAAATGATGCAGATATTCAGCAACAGAGCAACAGAAAGCTTAGTCAGATGGTTAATCCGAAAGAGAGCAGAGTGCTTTCGGACCCGCAGCCTTCCCGCTTTATACTGCGCAGCTCGTGCGGCGCAGTGAAAGCGCTGCGCCCTGATTGGCTGAAGCTGAATGGTGTATTGGTATGATAATGCTTTTGTCACACTCCGGCTCGTGGCAGATTGATGGGGGTCATCGAGCACCCGCCTCCCCCACCTCCCCCCGGACTGAGTGCAGCAGCCTGCCTGAAACTAAAATAGTTTCATCAAATTAAAGTTTGATCGCTCTGTAGCACTTTGGATTGTTTTTTGCAATGAAAAGAACAGCTTTTGCAGAGGTGCATGCAGCTGCAAAAGTAAGTAAAAATACAAATTGTCTCCTAGGAGACAACTTTTACTTTTACAATAATTTATAAAGACTCATACAATGCACGGACACTTCATGTTGTCCCCTTAGGAAACGCGAGAAACTATTTATTAACCAGTTCATGCCACACAAAACTTCAGGGGAGAAAAAGTTCAGCAAGCACAATTTTCTTTCATTTTAGGTTTTTGGTGACAGTATTGCAGCAGCAACAAGGAGAAAGTGTGAAGCATCCCCTCCCCCCTATACAGCCGAGAGAAAGGGCAGGTGGATGATGCCATCTGTGGACTAGAGGCTGCCCATAAAACGGCCTCATTGTGCGCATAGAAGCCCTCTATTATCTCGGCCCCCCATACAAATGCAAATGACGAGCGCGTGCCAAAACGCTGTGCGTGCTGCGCAATCTGCGCTGTTGGCCTGTGCTGACCACGTGGCCATCAGCTGTCCAGAAAATCCTCTCTCAGTTTTTGTTTATTTACTCTGGGGAATTCAGCGGCCACGCGCACGTAATTCTAAAGGAAAACTTAGTGGACTTTCAGTTCAATGCTATTTGATGCGCAGACGCAGCAAATGTTTCTAATGGGATTTTATTTATTTCTGAAAACGCTTTTCATTTCCGATCACTTTTGAGAATTACAAAAGTTTCCCTCACTGATTTTGGTTTCACTTGGTTTCACATCTGGTAAACATGCACACTTTGCGCACAACAAAACTTTTACGCACGGTTCTGATTCTTCGGCTGCACGGATGCAGCGCTCTTAACAGCTCGTGCAATTTTAGCCTCCTTAGCCTGCATAATAATTCACTACACAGGTCTTGCATTGAGTCAGGGCTGCAGCCACTGCTGCGTAAATAAGTGGAGTGCCGTGGAGAGGCTGTGCGGAGGACACAGGTTGGCGGTGATTGATTCAGCGCTATTGTTCTGCGGAGGGGCAGAGCGGCAGATGGAGAACTGTCGCTATGAGGGACCCTCCCCTTTCTCCTAAACCGAGGTCAACCCCGACCCCGGGCGCGCCGCTCTTTTGTCTACAAGTCTCCACATTCGGCAGGCTGTTGTCTGAGTTGTGATTACATTTCAATGCCAAAGAGAAGAGCTTACGGTCGAAACTTTTCACAATGAATAAGAGTTTATCTCGCAAACGGTGGCAGACATGTAGACGCAGATGCAATCACTTTCAGTTTGAGCTGTAAACACGTGCGACAATGCCCAACGTGTGTTTTGATAAACAACACAACTATTATCTGTGCGTTACTGCAACATGAAGTTTTTTTTTTTTGGGGGGGGTATTTCACTTTTCAGACTCTGTCCGTGTGCATCCACCCCATCAGCACATCAGCTGGGGCCAATGAGGGCTACAACCGGGCCGAGGAGGGTTCCGGGTCCAGCTGACAGAGATTTGGACGCTGATATAAGGAAGGATCAGCTTGCATGTCCACCCACGGGGCAGGCGCGTGCAAATCGATACCGACCTATTGTTGCTGCAGCACATCTGCCATGCACACGTACCCCCCCCCCGGCAGCGCGACAGGTGTTGGCTCTCTCCCGGTGACCTGCGGCGACTCGCCAACGCTTTGAACTCCTTATTGGGGGGAGGAACGTGTCTAAAGCTGCAGTATGAGATGTTTAGGCTTCTGCCGTGTGCATGTATGACCTTTGAATATGGGAACGTGCGCGAATAGTTTTTGAGTGAACTGCTCAAATAACTTCTACGAATTCTGCTGAAACGGAAAACTTTAAAATCATGTAGCGGATTAAAAAAAAAAAAAACTTCCATCAGGCCCAGCAGGTGCTGTCTGACTTCTTTTGTCTACCCTTCCCTTCCCCCGGGGGCAGATGGTATCTCTCAGTTGCTATGGAGAGTGATGCAGAAAGACAGATAAAGCACGCGGGCCACGCGCCTCAAGTGAGGACTGAATTTAGGCATGCAAAGCAGCGGCGCGTGCCACTGCCCAATCTACACAACAACAACAAAAAACAAACAAAGTGCATGCAGTGAAATTGGCCATAAAAGTAGAACTCAGTCTGACATCTAATGCATGTGTGTTACATGTATGCTTGATGCATTATGACACTTAAAACAATTGCAAACTTATGTGCAAGGCTTTGAACAATTCGAACATCTCTTATTATCTTATGGGAAACGTGTCCTCTGCACACATTCTGTAGTTTAGAGGTTTTACAAACTCAAGTCAACAATATGCATGCTGTATTGTTTTAGATTTTCAGCGGGTTTTTCTATGTCACTAATTTGATAAACTTTATAATTTTACTTGAGGTACTTAACACGGAGAACCTACACCTATAGTGGTATTATATAGATCTTAGAGGAAAACACATGTTGCAGACAAAAATAAAAAAATAGCCAATCATTTCCATTCAATTATTTTGTAGTATAGAATCAAATAACAGAAAGTGAAATAGCTATAGGTGAGGAAACTATCCTAACACACATCAGATCTGAAAAAATATTGTAAAACTGTGGCTGGCACTCAGAAATGTGACATTTCATGGTTTGCAAAATGCTGTGATGTTGGTGATTGTGCAGAAACCCTTTTAGGATTACGGTTTAAACAGTTATTGGTTGCTTCTAATGATTCCACAACTTGGAGGACTTTGATGACGACAGTGTGGTCTCCCTGTGTGGTTTCATTATTCCTGTAATCTGAAAGAACCATTAAAAAGGTCAGAGTTACTACATCTGATCCTTTCAACCAAAACTTCCCCCGATTTCTAAGACTTTTCTATAGGCACGCGTCCCTGAGGGCGGGGTGGGGGCTGCAGGCCTGTTGTAGTCATTGTGCCCCGGACGCCCAATCACAGAGTGAGCGTGTGCCGGGTCTGCGGTATAAATGCTGGCAGAGTCTTGGAGGAAGCACAAACTCTCTTTCCTGGACTTTCTGACCACATCAGCTTAACTCAAAGCCCAACGCTCACCATGCAGTCACCCGGGAAGTCTCTGAAGGAAGCTCTGCTCGGTGCCCAGAGCGACGGCCGACTCACCGCTGGAGTCTACGAGAGCGCTAAAATTATGACAGAGTGAGTAAACTAAACATGACTAAAATATGACTTTGGCATCCACTATGAAGAGCCAATAGGGTCACTGTCTGACAGCAGCGGCTAACCAGTGACTTTCCTTTGTCCCCTCAGCGACCCAGACAGCGTGTCCTTCTGCGTCCTGGCCATGGACGAGGACTTCCAGTGTGACATCGCTCTGCAGATCCACTTCACCCTCATCCAGTCCTTCTGCTTCGACAACGACATCAGCATCGTCAGAGTGAGCGACACGCAGCGCGTGGCTGAGATTGTCGGTGACAAGGCGCAGCTGGAAGACGCCCACTGTGTCCTCATCACGGTACGTGGAGCTCAGATAACGAGAATGCGCCATTACACATCAGCTGTGAAGTCTATATAGTTGATGCCCTCTTGGAGAGCAACACGTGACTAAAGCCTCTTTTCCTCCTCCTGCCTGAACAGAACCCAGCCGAAGGGTCTTGGGAGGACCCCGCTCTGGAGAAGCTGCACCTGTTCTGCGAGGAGAGCCGCAATGTGAACGACTGGGTGCCCGAGATCGTCCTCCCCGAGCGCTGATCCGGGCCTCGGCTCCTCTCTTGCTCGAGATGCTGTGAAGCTTCTTATCTGGAAATATTCACCCTGATGGACAGGGTGACCCTGTTTCTGCTCATCCCTGGATCCTCCTGAGGAGGGCTCCCGTCCAGGCAGCACGGCGCCGGCCCGAGGAGGCCCCCCCCCCCCCCACCACCCCGGCACGCCGCCGTGACCCGTCGCCTCTTGTCCCGTCCATGCCAAGATGCCTCTCATTCTTTATGTGAACGAGAGTCAGGTATGCCGCAGGAGCGACACGTCGACCCTCATTCTTTGTGCGGATGAGGTTTGGAGAGGAAGGAGATGCGAGTTCTGCGTCCTGTGGCCCCACAGAGCGAACGGCGCACGTTGAAGCACGCGCAGCAGGAGAAGAAGCGGTGCTGAGGAAGAGGCCTTCTTAAAAAGAGACTTTTTTAACGATGTCCTCTTTGCTGAGCAACAGGACAACAGTTGCAATCAGCGAAAATGCTTCCCACTTTCCAGAATTGTCTTAATTCTCTAAAGGTTTCACTTTATGAATTTGAAAAAAATAACAATTATATTCTAAATAAAAAAAATTTAAAAAAGATAGACAACAAAACTTATTCTCTAAAGGTTTCACTTTAGAAATTTGAAAAAAAGCAATTATATTCTAAATAAAAATGTAAAAAAAGATAGACAACAAAGTTTATTCTTTAAATGTTTCACTTTATGAATTTAACAATGCTGAAAATGATTGATACTATATCTAACTTAAAAAAAAAGATTTTCAATTTCAGTATGTGACAACAAAAACTGTAGTAGTTCCCGAGGGTTTTTCTTACATCTAATTTACTTCAAATGATACAACATATGCCCTTCATATTTGATTTCTTTGTATGATGAAAAATATAAATAAATACATATCTGAGTTCAGTTTTGCCTTCTGACTGTACTTCTTGTGTTCATATGTGAGGGTGAAGTTGGCTTTTGGACTTCCTGAGCTCTTTGAGGGGATTTCTTTATGTCTCATGTCATTTCAAACCCTGACCAACACAGCCTGCATCAGCCTGCATCTCAGAACACGTCTGACTGAATTCTGGGAAAAGCATTTCTCCCTCTAAATGTG